TGATGGGAAAATTCAGAAGCTGCTAAACAGAAAACAACTCCACAGAAAAGTTAATCTCTCTCTAAGAAAGCAGCATTTAACTCCATCAAAAGTAAAGTCCAAGAGAAGCTTAGAGAGGCACAGGATTCTTGGCTTAATCAGAAGGTATATAAGATTCAGTTTTACAGCCATAGCAACAATCGAAAGCACTTTGTGATGCCTTGAAGATTATTCATGGGCCAAAGACCTCTTGTGCATCTGAACTATTCAGCACTGATGGAGTCAAGCTGATAAGCATAAAGACATGATCCTGGACAGATGGATTGAACACTTCCATAGTGTTCTCAACAGACCTTCATCAACTAATGCTGAAGCCATTGACTAGATACTGAGGGTTCAAGTCAGTCACTCTCTAGCTGAACTTCCATCTGAAAAAGATTTTTGAATACCATTCAATGCCTTTCATGTGGCAAAAAACCTAGTGGTGATTGCATCTCATCAGAGATCTGCTAGGGAGGGAGTTCACTGCTCATACAAAAGCTGACTGAAATCTTCCAGGTTAGATGGCAAGAGGAGATTATCCCCAAGAGATCAAGGATGACTCCATTGTCCATCTCTGTAAAGGAAAAGGAAATAGGTTATCCTGTGACAAAAAGGGAAGATCTCTCTATTAGTTATTATTGGCAAGATTCTTGCCAGAGTTCTCCTTAATAGACTGATCCTTCACCTGGAAGATGGTCATCTACCATCTTCAGAAAAGACTGAGGAATGGTCAACATGGTGTTTGCTGCCTGACGATTCCAGGAGAAATGCCAGAAGCAGAACAGAGGTCTATACACAACATTCATTGATTTAATCAAGACCTTTGATACTGTCAGGTATGAGGGATTGTGGAAGATCATAGAGTAGCTTGGTTCTCCAAAAAAATATTGTATGTCAGTTTCATGATGGCATGCTTGCATGGGTTCTGGATAAGGGACAATGTTCTCATGCTTTCCTAGTTACCAACAGAGTGAAGCAGGGCTATATGTTTGCTCCCATGGTTTTTAGCATGATGTTTTCAGAGATATTGTTGGATGCCTTCAATAAGGAGGAAAAGAGCATAAAGATCAACTACTACACTGACTATAAATTACTTAACTTGAAAAGTCTACAAGCCAAGATTAAAGTGGAAGGAGAATTGGCATGTGACTTTTTGTTTGCAGATGATTGTGCACTCAATGCAATCTCTGAGGCTGAGATGCAACAGAGTATGGATTGATTCTCTTCCCCTTTGGCTAATTTTGGCCTAACAATCCACACCAAGAAAACAGAGGTTCTTTGCCAGCCAGCACTATACCATCCATATGTGGAATCATCAGTTACAGCAAATGGAAAAATTTTGAATGTTGTGGATAAGTTCACTTACCTTGGCAGTATACTATCAAGATATGTCCACATAGATGATGATGTTGACGTATACATTTCCAGAGCTAGTGTTGCATTTGGGAGGCTCCAAAAGAAAGTGTGGGAGAAAAGAGGTATTAGGCTGCCTACCAATCTGAAAGTCTACAGAGCCATTGTGCTGACCTCATTGTTGTATGCCTGTGAAACCTGGACAATCCATCAGCACCATGCCAGAAAACTGAACTGCCTCCATTTGAATTACCTTAGGAAGACTGCAAATCACCTGACAAGCTAAGGTACTAGACACTGAGGTTCTTTCTTAAGTTGAACTGCCAAGCATTCAAACTCTACTTCAGTGAGTACAGTTCCTATGGGCTGGCCATGTAGCCCAAATGTTAAACATATGTTTACCTAAAAGGCTATTTTATGGAGAGTTCACACAAGGCAAATCCTTACATGGAGGTCAGAAGAAGTGGTACAAGGACACTCTCAAGGTCTCTTTGGAGAATTTGAATATCAATTGTGAGACATGGGAGATACTAGTATGGGCCTGCCCAGTGTGGTGTGCCCACTTCAAAGAAGGGGCTGTATTCCGTGAGAAAATCAGAATTGCAGTAGCACAAAGAAAGTGTGACATGGACGAATGTAAAGACACCTCCATCCCAAATGTTCAAACAGACTATTTGTGCCCAATCTGTATTAGAGCCTTCAGAGCTTGTATTGAACTGATCAGCCACAGTCGAACATACTGCATCTTGACCCCAACATCGTGATGTCATTGGTCCTCTTCAAGTATGAAGGACAAACAACAAAAACAATATATGTGTGTATGTGCATACCTACACACATATATGTGCCTCATTCTACATAGATGACATTTCTTCACTGGTATATATTTCCCACACTGAGAAAATCAGTTACTTATACCCTAAAGCATAGACATATAAACATTGGATCTATTATCTATTGATCTATCATTTATGTGTCTTTTCTCTCTAGATAGAGATGATCTTATTAATATCAGAGGCAGGAATTGAATCCGGGTCTTCAAAGCCACCACTCTATCTAGTAGGCCATGATGACATATTACTTCTACTAATTAAAAGAAAGGGGCAGCTAGGTGGCACAATGGATAGAGAAGTGTCCCTGGAGATAGGAGGACCTGAGTTCAAATTTGACCTCAGGCACTTACTAGCTGTGTGACCCTGGGCAAATCACTTAACTGTGTTTGCCTCTGTTTTGTCATCTATAAAATAAGCTGGAGAAGGAAATGGCAAGCCCCCCAGTATCTTTGCCAAGAAAACCCCAAATGGGGTCACAGAAAGTCAGACACGACTGGTATGACTCAACAACAAAAATGAAAAGAAAATCAGTATCTTTTCTCAAATGCTTCAAATAGACAAAGAAATTGTGTGGATATTGAAAGGGAAGGTGTTTTAAAACCCTCCTCCATCCTATCCTTATTGTTTGCATTCATCAGTGGAAGTTTCATTCAAGAAAAGACAGGCCCCCATCATGTAGTACACTCACATTAGCATAGTTAATGAAATATCTGACATTTTCCAGAGGGCTTGGGTAGGCTTACCTTGCAGGAGACTATGGAGTAGTGATTATCAGCACAATGGCATTTAACTTCTTAAATTTGGAATCAGTATATAACTCATGCAAAATAAAGATGAACTGTGGTAGCAGAGCCTAAGGTAGCTATGGATAAATGGAGCTCATAGTATGGCATGAGAAGGGATTGAAAATGTTTATCCTATTCTGTTAGTTTATGAGAAACTAGGAAGAAATAATACCCCTATACTACAATGAACATGGGATCTCATCATTATGGGCATTCCCATCAGTGGTCCAGATCACAACCCAGTCATACTTGCCCCTCCTGTGTAAAGCTCTTTACTACACCAATAGACTGGTCCCTTCCTGATGAATTATTTGGCTAAGGCAACTCATGTAACAAAGGAAGGAAGTAAATGAGAACTTCCAATTCTATAGTTTTTAACACTTGATATTGTTTTCCTCCCTATATTCCTATAATACATGCTACAGTAGAAGTATAGAGTGCAAGTATCATTGTCTCTTTTACAGATGAGGAAACTGAGGTTCTGAGATATAATTTGACTAGCTTGTAAGATGATGTTACCAGTAAATGGTGGAACTGAGATTCAAATCCAAGTCAAGTCATGTCAAGTCAACAAGCATTGAACCACTTCCTACATTTCCTCAGTGTTATTGATTGCTAAATGTTGTTACCTATTGATTGCAGTATGTGCATTTGGTCCCATTTTGGAATGTATAAAGCCATATATTGTTAAGATTCTTCAAGAATTCAAAATGTCTATGATTTCATTGATGTAGGTTACTCCATCAAAAGCCAGAAAATGTGATGCTTCAATACTTAGTGAGTTCCTGTGGTCAAGGCCTTCATTGTCTGGTGACTACCTTTAGTGATGAGGTTTTCCACAATCTGATGTCAGACTCATGTTCAAAGACTTTCCAGTCTGGTAGGCCCTGACTCAGCTTGTTATCTGCTTGCGTAGGTTTTAAGCACCCCAGCTTGTTTGCTGGTGCAGTAAGAAGAGTGCTGAAAAATCTGATCTCACATCCTGCTTCAGATATGTCCTACCTGTGTAGTCCTGGGTAAGTCACTTAATACCTGATTGCTTCAGTTTCCTAAACTGTCATATGGGGATAATAATAGGATCTACTTCCCAGGGTTGTTGTATCAGATAAGACAATATTTATAAAATGCTTATCAGTGCCTGGCACATAGAGGGCACTTAATTAATGCTTGTTTTCCCTTACCCTCAGTCAGCCTCCATTTCCATATCTGTAAAATGGGGGAAATAATAGCACCTACCATACAAGGTTGTTGTGAACATCAAATGGGAGATAACATGAATAAAATTAGATAATGAAATACATAAAGCATTTTTCAACACTTTAAAGTACTAAATGAACATCAGCTAATATTATTATTATTTCCACATCTTGATGAAACATTGAAAGGTTGTTAGAATAAATGAATAATTCTAACATGACCCTTTAATGCCTGGGTTCCTGAGTGCAGTAAAAACTTATCAAATTACTTTGTGGCTGTAAATTCTCCACAATGCACAGAACACCCAATTTAGAAGATAACCTGGATTACTTCACTACCAGTATCTCCACCTTTCCTCGGCCTTCACTCTTTTCTTCTCCAATCATTGTTGAATTAAAAACTTAGCTTATTGTGGTACAATAATATTGGGGACCTGAAATTTTTATATCTGTACCCTATGCATGTATATCTCAGGTTAAATACTTGATACCTACACTTATACGTATTGGCTAGTCCTTTGTATTTGTTAAGGTGTGCATTTAACACCTTAGTCTCTTGTATTCCTCTAGATAGAATGGGAGAGTTGAAAAGGACCTTAAAGCTCTTCTATTCCAATCACCCACCCAATGAAGGAATCTCTGAACAACATTAATTTTAATAATGATCTTCTTCCTCCTTTTCCTCCTCTTCTAGAAGTCATGGGGGTTGTAGGTGAAACAATAGGGCAGGAAATTGACACAATTTCCTGAAGCAATTGTAGTCTACCCTTTCAAGAGCAAGAGGTACTGGAGAGGGATTAGTGAGGGGGTGGATGCTCAGGGTGTCAGTGAAGATGGCAAGAACACGTCCAGGGAGAAGCAAAGGCATGTCTGGGGCTGGCTCTCATGAATCACGAGAGCATGGTCCCAGGGTAGGGGAATTCCATAGCTGAGAGGCTTAGGTCCTCTTAGGCAAAGTAGTAATTTTCTACCCTCCCTCATCCATCTCCCCCACCCCAGTCTTCTCCAATCATCATTGAATTAAAGAACTTGGTGTATTTTTATATAATAATATTGAGAACCTGAGATTTTTGTCTGTCTGAGAACTTCCACCTGTGAACACACAATCCTGGATAACTTATAGTCTTAAATCCTTGTCTGATGCTGAGAGGCTAGAGACATAGCCCTAGTCACACAGTTAATGCGGAAGTGGGACTTCAGCCCAGATCTTCTTGACCCCAGGTTCAACAATCTATTTATACTGACATACTTGCTGTCATTCAGCATAGCTTCATCCTAGGACCAAGATACCAAGTCTCCTTAATTTTTTATAGTCTAGTCATGTACAATGAAGCAAAAGTTTTTCATTAAAGAATCTCTTTCTAATATTTGCAGTGTTGCATATTCAGCACAGTAATCCCTTCTTAGAATATTCAACAAATTATTCACACTAAAAACCCTGCAGCTTTCTCAAAGACCTTTTTTCATTTTTCCATATGACAGCAGAATTAATCAAGGTTCTAATGGCTGTTCTGCAGGTGTTATTTAAAAAACAACCAATAGTCTCCAAAGCATTAAATTTGCTTGAGAATCCTGATTGCAGAACCTGATGTCTGTTATTTCTAAAGTAGAAGAGAGTAGAGGTGACACAATCCATGACATGGTCACTAGGTTACAAGCTAAATTTACACAGTTTTAAAATTCAAAATTAATTTCCTTCCCAAACTTTGCCACCCCCAAATATTCATGGACTATGAATTAGTAAGTATAGTAGCATTATTGTAGGAATAGTCCCTCACAGAATAAACTTGGGCTGGTAGGATGAGAGGGAAGGGACAGTTTCAGAGGCCAAGTCTCAAATGTCACATGGAAACCCTACTTTCTTTTGCATCTGCCATGTTTCTTGCCTGTACTCAAGCATGCAAAGTTTGGGTATTCGGGCAAAGTGTGCTATCACTGCAACCTTAAATTCAAGGATTTCTAATTTCAATGGAGTAGGGTAGTCCCTCCAGTAATGAAAATAACACCTTTTTCATGACTTAGTAAAAAGTGATTGAGAATTGCCATGGCCAAAAAAAATCATCATTTCATAGCCAGTTTGGGTAGTGAACATCTCTGCATGTATTAGTTGGATTGGTACATGGACCAAAAACACGTAATTCATCAGTGTGCAAGTATAATCAACATTCTTTCCCAGCTTTATAGATACTCCCAGAGTTTGTGCTCTGCTGGAATAGCTGTTGAGGACCCAGGATCATCTTTATACTAAGATGAGGCATCAGAAGAGGACTTTCGTGGAAGGCTCAATCATCATAGCTGTGCCAAATTGGTTTCATTCAGGGAAAGAGGTTTCCTAAAACCACCTAAAGGTATTGGGCCACCTTCAATTAAATGCTTTTGCAATTCAACAAACATTTATTAAGTGCCTATTGTGAGCATAGTACTATGCTAGATCCTTGAGGAGATACAAGGTTTAGATTAGACACAAACCTTGACATATACAAATGGGCATACTATGAAATGGCACATAGCCATACAAAAGTGATTTGAAAAAAGCATATTTTGTGATATCTGAGTGTTTATCAATTAATAAGAGCCAAGGAAATTTTTTTTTGGAGGAAGTACTATTTTATTTGGAATTTAAAAAGCATGTATTTATTCAGTAGGGTGAGGTGGAGGACAGGGAGACAATGGGAAACAGAAAGCATTGCAGGCTTAGGGAACAGTGTGAGCAAAGACACAGAGGTGGGAGAGCACAGAGTGTATATGGGGAGGACAGTGATTATGCCAGTTTGGAGGGCAGAATATATGGAAGGGATTGGCAAGATAAAAGGAAAGGTAGTGTCAGATTGTACCAGATCAAGTTCTACGTTGCCAGATTTGAACTCCATAAGCAATGTGGCATATCAAAGTAATGGAATATCATTGTGACATAAGAAATATGAAAGGGACAATTTCATAGAATCTTGGGAAGACTTTGTATGAAGTGATGCATCATAAAATAAGCAGATGTAGGAAAACAGTTTATGCAATTACAACATTATAAAAATGAAAAACTCTGAAAGACTTAAGGACTCTGATCAACAGAATGGCCAACCATGATTACAGAGGACAGATGATGAAGAAGGTTACAGACATCCTGAGAGACAAGTGATGGACTCAGTATGAATAATGAGACATACTATTTGGAAATAGACTATCTGGGAATTTATTTTGTTTTTATTTACTATAAAGGTTTTGTTTTTATTATTTTTTTTAGTGAGAGAAGTGGTTGGAGGAGGAGAAAAGAAATGCTTATTAATTGAAAAAAATACAGTTTGATAATTAAAAAAACATAAGCAATTTGGAGACATTGAGAGCACTTAAAAAGAGATATATCAAAACCAGATTTCTAAATAGACAATATTCATTTGAGATATAAAGTATAAAGAGAATGGCAGTTGAAACAACTACCCCATTTGCTTAAATGAGAACAAAATTGGTTGTTTTCACTATGGTAGGCTTGGCTATTTATAGAACATAATCATCTATCAGGGAGGGTTTCTGGGACCTATTATGTGCATGACAGGAAGGAAACACATGGTCCATACTATAATGGAATTTCGAAGCTTAGTGGAAAATACCAAAATAACATATATGAAATACCTCCTCCATCTAACATTATACTTGTTGTGTCTATTCCTCTTTAAGAGAGGCAACATGGAATGGTGGAATGATTGCTGGACTCAGACAGAGCCAAGAAGCTCCTGGAGTTGAATCCAGCTTTTGGTTTGCTTTTGTATGACTTCTCTGAGCTCAGTTTCCTCATTTGTTAAACAGAAATCGTAAGTGTAGTATCTGCCTTATAGGATTGCTAAGAGGATCCAAAGATATGATATGTGTGTGTGTGTGTGTGTCTGCGTGTGTGCGCATGTGTGTGTATACATACACATATATCTATAGTCACTTTTAACCTAAAGTGATAGATATGGTAATTGTTGTTTGCCCTTGATATTCATGATTTCAGCAGCCTGGCTGAATAGTGGAAAAATCTCTGGGTGTGGTATTATGAGAACTGTGTAATACTCATGGAGTCACAGAATATTGTGCATTGGAAGAGATTTCAGTTGCCAACTAGTTCAACTCATACTCACAAAGGAAGCCTAATCATGACATTCAATAAAAGCTCACCGACCAGTGTACTTGAAGACCTCTAAGAAGGTAGTGCCCATCCCCTCTTACTGCATCCCACTTAAATTTGGTTAGTTCTAGTTGCTCAATTTTTCTTTACATCAGGCTTAAATTGTCTTCTTTGTAACTTTCCCCATTGTGCTTTCTTGGATCAAATATGTGTTTAAACACTCTGCCTTCTTCATTCCTGTGGCACTTCTCCCATTCTTGACAATCTTCCAAACATCACTGACAGTGGCTGAGAAACCAAATTTGTCTGTTCATTCACTATGTAAGGATATGGTTCAGATATGCCAGGTAAAATGAAAACATTTATAATACATAGATGCTCTCTTATTATCTCCATTTTCTCCTTTTAGGAAGTTGAGAACCAACTTCCAACCAGTCCTTTCAGGCCTAAAAGTCATTCTCCTTGGCAGAGAAAACAACATGATAGGAATTGAGCAGTGCTTCCTATCTTTGTCAAAGGTTATCATTATTCCATGCACCCTGAGCAGTAGCCTTATGCTTACTTTGGTCTTCTTTCCTTCCAGTAAAGCTAAAAAAACAAAACAAACCAAAAATAAAATTCCTTTCCCCACTTCCCTTTTTTGATACTTAGCTTTTCTGACCAGCCTTAGCATCTACTGAGCTTTATCATTCTTGGGACCATAGCATACTCAGTTACCTTCTCTTGCTTCCATTTTCTACACGTCTTTTTAACATCTAAATTGGTTGGGAGTTCACTGTTTATACACTTACACTTTGACTTTTTTTTCAGGCAACTTTCTTTCTCCTCTTCAGTATCATAGCTTTTCTTAGTGTCATCAGAATTTCATTCTTCCCATCTCTCCTGGGATGATTTACCCTGTAGAATTTTAATCTCTAGAATTCTATCTTTAGTTACTCTGAATCCTTTTGCTCTTCCAAAATCTGTAGTACATGTTAACCTATACCTGGTTTCCTTCATTTTCTCTATCATAAACTCTAAGAGGGAATGGTCACTTACCCCTAAGGTTCCCATCAGCATGGTTATATTGCCTGAATACAAATTTACCTACTGTGTCACCTCTAAATTGGAGCTAGAAACCTATATGGCAAGAGAAAGTCTGCTGTCCTTGATAAAATACAGAAAAAAATCAGTACTGAGCATTGTCACCAAGAGAATTACTACTACGTTCCAGCTCTGCAGATCTTTTGGACAAACTTAACAGCTTCTCAACCTTTTTATTTTTTTAAATGTAGCTAATGGACTAATTCAATTTAATAAGCATTTATTGATGTTATAATATAGGAATACAATGAGTAAATGATAATAAATTAGTAAATGTTTAATGATTTGAATTAACTAAGACATGTTAATGTTTCCCTCTAAAAATTTGAATACTTTAAGTCTGGGATTTCATTGTTGTAGGTAACCCCTTCACTAATACAGATTATGCTTCTTACTTGACACTGTAGCTACTTTCAAGAGCTATCCTAGCCAAATAATTCATCACTGGTATTCAACCCTGTGGTGATGAATCTCTCTAAGACTAATTGCCGGTCTAACTGTGCACATCACATATTCTATTTCTTGAGCTTGGTAGAACCTATCATTTCTTACAATATCCTGGAGGAGCCCTTGAGAAACCAAGGCAGGGGTGAGGAGCCTGTGGCCTCCCCACCCCTGAACTGGGGTCTTCTTTACCCTTAGAATGTGGCATTTGAAGAGAATGCTGGTAAAGGGTAGATGAATAAAAGGCACAAATTCCAAAGAATTATTTCAGTGGCATCATTGTAAGTGTAAAACTATTCATTGGGAAAGTATAAGTAAAAGTGAAAAAAAAAAGCAAATCATGACCCACATTAGACTAATTCAATCACTAGCATCTTGACAATTTAGGGGATATGATGCATTTAATCTAATGTTCTATTTCTCAGCTAAAACTTGGTGGCGTGACTTCATTTGGATTTCTATGCTTGTGCTGACCTGAAAGTTGGTTAAAGAGACAACAAGCTTTGTGATGAGTAAATCCATATTGTTTTTTCCCTTAAGTTAACTACATGTACATGGAGCCAGAGCTTTAACTCTGACTGAATCAAGCAATTTTAGCAGGACATTTAAATCCTGACTCAGGCCAATGTCAAATCCATGATATCTGTGTTTCCTTTACCACCATCAAGGTAGTGTCTGGGTTAAAGGCATTTCAGTGGTCATAAAGAGACGAATGCTTTTGATCAGCTTTAGCTGTTGACACAGGAAGGGGCATTCTTAGTTCACTCAGGAAGAAGCAAGTAATTCAGACTTTTGGTTCTTATTGGGGCTCAGTTAATCTTAAATGATTATCATTTCCTCCTTTTGGTCAAAGATAAGTTGAAGGCTTCATCTACAGACTAAGGAAGGTATGGGAAAAACCCTCCTCTTCCTCAGGGGGGTGGGAAGAGATGTTCACTTGGAATAGGCATCTTCAGATGATCCCAGACTCCACATTCAGAAGTTGGCAGCTATGGGAGTAGTCACATAGATCTGATCGAGGCTTTTAGAAGATGTATGAGTTGATAATTGAGAGAAAACAGCATAAAATAAGTCCTTAGTTAAAGGCACATAGAGATGGTTCAGTTTTCCCAGCCATGCAGGGCTAGGTTCAAACAATACAGCAAAGTTTTTCTCATAATTCAAAAAATTGTGTAATTACATCAAGTCAGGTACAGATTAAACTACTTAGAGGGTTCACAATAGACTAGTTTGAGAAGGGCTATTTACATGTTACCAAGATAACCAAGAAAACCTTAAACATGAACCATACAAATCAATATAATCATTATTACCAAGGTTAACTAACATTAAGTTCCTTGCTCATGTACAATAGATTTTATTCTTAGGCAGTTCATAAAGGGAATTTTGCTTCTTTGGTTTAGATCTAGAATTTCCCAGATAATTCTGATTTAGTATACATTAATATAGTCACTTAAATTTGGTTCTCCATTTTTGAAACTTCAGTTTATATATCATCTACTGCTTCTGTTCTTACCTAAATCCTGTACCTGGTATCAGAATCTTTTAAAATGTGAGGTCCAACCATAAAATGAGTTCTTTTGCCTTTTAAAATTATCAGACAGATACTTTAATAAAGGAGAAATAATTTTACTTACTTTTACCACTATCCCATACAATTTTTGGTGTAAAAAAATCTAAATTTGAGATCCTATTACCAAACCATGCTTAAAACTTGGATTTCCATAACAGATACATTTTGGAAGCCAATTATATATATATATATATATATATTTATGTATATATGTATATAATTCTTAGAGGAATCAGTCTAACCCTGTTGCTTATCTCAAAATTCGCTATCCTTTTATTTTTATTTTTTTAAATTTTAAATTTAAAAAAAATTTTAACATGTGTTTTTAAAACTTTGGGTTACAAATTTTCTCCTTCTTCCCTCCCCACCCATCCTCATTGAAAAAGCAAGCATCTCAATACAGGTTATAGAAGTATAGTCATGCAAAACACTTCCATAGTAGTCATGTTGTGAAAAACTAAGTATATTTCCCTTCATCCTATCCTACCCCCCATTTATTCTATTCTCTCTTTTGACCCTGTCCTTCCTCAGAAGTGTTTGCTTTTGATTATCCCCTCCCCCAATCTGCCCTCCCCTCTATCAACCCCCTGCTTGTCCCCTTACCCCCTTATTTTACTATAGGGTAAGATACTCCATTGTGTATGTTATTCCCTCCTTAAGCCAAATCCTATCAGAATAAGATTCACTCATTCCCTCTCACCTTCTCTCATTTCCCCTCCACTGTAAAAGCCTTTTCTTGTCTGTTTCATGTGAGATAATTTACCCATTCAACTTCTCCCTTTCTCCTTCTCCCAGTGTAATTCTTTCTTACCCCTAAATTTTATTTTCCAGATATCCCTTCATTTTCAACTCAATCTGTGCCATCTATCTATCTATCTAGCTAGCTAGCTATATATACATACATAGAATTTTTTCCCTCCCACTACTCTAATACTGACAAAGGACTCATGAGTTACAAATATCATCTTTCCCTGCAGGAATGTAAACAGTTCAACCTTAATAAGTCTCTTATGATTTGTCTTTCCTGTTTACCTCTTCCATGTTTCACTTGAGTCTTGTATTTGAAAGTCAAATTTTATATTCAGCTCTGGTCTTTTCCTCAGGAATGCTTGAAAGTCCCCTATTTCTTTGAATGACCATTTTTTTACCCTGAAGGATTATACTCAGTTTTGCTGGGTAGGTGATTCTTGGTTGTAGTCCCATCTCCTTTGCCCTCCAGAATATCATACTCCATGCCCTCCAGTCGCTTAATGTAGAAACTGCTAAATCTTGTGATATCCTGATTGTGTGTCCACAATACTTGAATTGTTTCTTTCTGGCTGCCTGCAATATTTTCTCCTTGACCTGGGAATTCTGGAATTTGGCTACAATATTCCTAGGAGTTTTCCTTTGGGGATCTCTTTCAGGAGGTGATAGGTAGATTCTTTTAATTTCTATTTTGCCCTCTGGTTCTAAAATATCAGAGCAGTTTTCCTTGATAATTTCTTGAAAGACAATGTCTAGGCTCTGTTTTTGATCATGGCTTTTAGATAATCCAATGATTTTTAAGTTCTCTCTCCTGGATCTATTTTCCAGGTCAGCTGTTTTTCCAATGAGGTGTTTCACATTCTCTTCTATTTTTTTCATTCTTTTGGATTAGTTTTATAGTGCCTTGACTTCTCAAATTGTCCCTAGCTTCCAGTTGTTCCATTCTAATTTTTAAGGAAGTATTTTCTTCAGTCATCCTTTGGACTTCCTTTTCCATTTGTCCAATTTTCCTTTTTAGGGCATTCTTCTCCTCATTGGCTTTTTGGACCTCTTTTGCCATTTGGGTTAGGCTAATTTTTTAAGGTGTTATTTTCTTCAGTATTTTTTTGCGTCTCCTTTAGCATCACTTTCAGTTTTTCCTCTACTTCTCTTCCTTGCTTCTCAAAATCCTTTTTGAGCTCTTCCTTGGCCTGGGACCAATTAGGGGAATGGGGCTGGGATCCATCCTTCTCTCTCACTGCAGAAACAGACTTTTCCCACTGACCTTCCAAGTTGTCTTTGGCATTCATGGGTTAAGAAGTCTGGAAACTGCCAGAGCTGCCCACAATTCAGTCCTCTGAGGCCTGCTCCAGGTCACTGAGTGCCCACGCCAAACTGCGTTCCTCTCCCAGCCTGGCATGATATACCTTTCTGATCAACCATCCAGGTTACCTTGGGCTAGAAATTTGTTTCACTCTGTCTTTTTGTGGGTTCTGCTGCTTTAAAATTTGTTTAGAGCCATTTTTATAGGTATTTGGAGGGATTTGGGGGAGACCTCAAGCAAGTCACAGCTTTTACTCCGCCATCTTGGCTCCACCCCCGCTATCCTTTTTAGACATCTGTCACATTATATCTTTGTCTTATTACTTTGTCTAAACATTTCCTCCTTAGGAGGATGTTATCCCTATATTATTATTATTTGGCCATGAATATAAGTTAAAATTGTAAACTATTCAGACTTGCATCCTATTATGATAACTCAGATGTTCCAGTATCCATCTATTTTTTAAATAAATTTAGTACTATGCTTACAGAGCTTCTTGATTATAGAAATTTGCAATAAAAGAAAAAGAGGGACAATGTCATATATCACATCAGAAGGAAAAGACTTCCTTAGCTCTATTTGATTCCAGGAATGAGTCATATCTGATAGCCAATCATGTAGTCATTGGATGTTAAAAGCAGACCTCAGGATTAATCAGGTGAGGAATTTTCCTCTTCAGAAAGGAAATAGCACAATTGGGAAATAGAGTCAGGAAGATCCTACCTAGGCTTTGTCCAAGGTTGTCCTCAAAACTCTTCCCAGCACAGAAATCCACCTTTAGCAGTTCTTCATCTGCAGCACACGTCATTCTACTATTGGCTTCACAACAGCTCAGACAACTATCCCTGTAATCAAAGCTCAAAACAATAGTGAATTGCTGTCCCATAAAGTCATATATCCTAGATAATAAGAATTTAATCTCACATTGGTAACAGTAAGAGACTGATCACAGAAAAATATTACTGCTTTCATAATTCCTTTAAACAATGGGAACATCTTAAGGTGAGTCTTCAGCAGTTTGCATAATTTCTACACATGTTCTAATTCCAGATTAAAAATAATATTAGATTTCCCATTAAGTTAACACAAAGAAGCTCATAAGTTACTACTCTTCACTAACATGACTATCTGTATTGGAATCTCATTCCTTAAGCAAAACAAAGAGACTCCTAACTAACCTCAAAAGTTGATGGATTTATGTCCTTGTTCACAAGCTTGTTTATTCTTTTCTAATTATACTCACTTTGGAAGAATGAGATACTTCAGGATTTGAACCTTAAACATATAAGTTCAAACACTAATTTAACTCTTGCTTAGGCCATGGGATGACTACAGAGTCAGATGAAAACAGCAAGATTCCTTCTGCTTTACAGCTCATTACAACAATTTAGCAATAAATTATCTTGCAAATGAAAATTTAGTAGGCCTTCAAAAAAATCAAACAAGACATTTCTTGTAAAAGTATTTCCCTTCTTTAAAAACAGTAAAATTTATCCTGATATTAAGAAGAATAATCACTAAACTTTTATGAAGAACATTAGTTGGAAACTTTCAAAATGATAGATATCTCTATTTTCCACCTTAAAGTAAAAATAAACCT